AGTACAACGGCGTCGTCGAGAGCGCCATCTGGCGCATTATGAAGGCCGGCATGGCCGCTCGCCGCAGCGCTGCCCGTGTGCTCAACGTCGACTTCGCTTCCATCCCCGGCCTCGACAGGCGCGGTGACCGTCTTTGGATGGAATCGGCGACATGGGCCGCCGACGCTCTCAACCAGTCGGCGACCAAGGCCAACCCCGGGCGGCGCTCGCCGCACGAGATGTTCACCGGCGAGCAGGGGCCGTTCCGCGTGCTGCCGTTCTTCCAGCCCGGCTTCATGCGCGAGGACCGCCGCACCAAGCTCGACGACCAGGCCACGCTCTGTTACTACCTGAACGGCGGCGACAACCACCCGAGCGGCACCGTCACGGTCCTCAAGGCGTCCACCGGCCGCGTCGTCTACACCAACAACGTGTCGTGGGTGACGTCGGCGCCAGCCGGCGAGGGGGGTTCCGCTGGTATCACCGCTGCGCCGACACCCCCCCCGTTCACGCCGCCGGTCGTCTCGATCAACTTTGGCCCAGCACCGACGCCTTCGACCGCAGCACTGCCGCCGCCAGCGCCCACGCCGTCGCCCGCTCCCGCTCCCGCTGCCGCTTCGCCCCCTGCCGCAATGCCGCCGCCAGCGACCACGCCGCCGCCCGCTCTCACGCCTTCACAACCGCCCTCTGCCACTTCGCCGTCATCGTCGGCGACCCCCACTCCTGGCCAGCCGTTCTCTTCCTCTTGGCTGTCACCGTCGGCGACCCCAGATCCTGACCAGCCGCCGCCGCCGCCGCCGGACCCCGCGATGCCCCCGCTTACGGCTCACGCCATGCGGCAGCTTCGCCCGGGTACAAAGGCCGAGGGTATGACAGACCCGCGGCTGCCAAGCCGTACGAGATCGGGCACAAGGCACAGCACAGGACTCATCTCGATGCTAGACAAGAATACTCTGGTGTCGATGCTGGAGGCTCGGAGCGCGAACGCAGGGAGCTGGGGGGGGCGGAGGCCGGAGAGCCGGGGGGAGCGGGGACCGGAGGGCAGGCGGGAGCACTCGCAGCTGTGGTCCCGGGAGCTGGAGGAGCGGGCTTTCCACTCGCATTTGCCACGCTCCTAGCCAACCGGGAAGACATCGACGCCACGCTGCGAGACCAGCGCCCGCCGGAGCAACGCCCTGACCTTCCTCATTGCCAGGCCAGCGACCTTCGTGTCCCTAAGAACAAAGAGGCCATGGCGTCGGAGCACCGGCACCTTTGGAGCGACTCTATGCAAAGGGAGTTTTATGGCTTGTTGGAAGCGGGGACTTTTACTCCGGCGAAGTAACAATTATTAATGGAGAACGCAATTAACGCTATGTGGGTATTCGATTGGAAGGCAGATGCGTTTGGATGGCCCACTAAGGTTAAGTCGAGACTTGTAGCGAGAGGTGACATGCAGAGAGAGTACATTGACTTTGGAGAGTTGTACGCGCCTACCGTTTCTGTTTCGTGTGTTAGGGTGTTGGCTGCTTTGGCGTGCGAGTTGAACCTCGACTTGTGTTTCGATGTTGAGCAAGCTTTTGTGCGTTCGGAGTTGGAGGAAGACGTTTACATGCGTTTGCCGCAGGGATGTGGAGATCTATCTGGAATGATTGTAAAACTAGGCAAGAGTCTGTATGGCTTGAGACAGACATCTAGGCAGTGGCATGCAATGCTGAAGAGGTGTTTGGTGGCGTGAGGTTTTGAGCAGTGCATGGCCGATGCTTGTGTGTTTCGTTTGATTGAGGATGGATGTGTTGTTTTGACTTTGGTAGTACATGTAGATGACATTTTTGCTGTGGGAGAGAGGGAGAGATGTGACAAGTTTGGTGCCGACCTCAACAAGTCCGTGCCATTGAAAAACCTGGGAGAGTTGAGATGGTATTCTGGGTGCTTTTACGAGATGAACAAGGAGACCGGTAGGTTGACGATTTCTCAGCAGACTTTCACGGATGAGCTAGCAGCAGAATATGGAGTAGTGGGAGGTAAGAGCGTTCCGATGTCTTCGGGGGTGAAGCTTTCTGATTTTGATGCGAATAAGGTGGCGACAGACATTCCGTTTCGTGAGCTGGTAGGATCGTTGATGTGGCTGGCGACTCAGACTAGGCCAGACATTGCGAATGCGTAAGGGCAGTAGCTAGGTATTGCGCATCTCCGAAGCTGATACACTGGAATGCAGCGATGGATATTTAGGCTATGCGAGGAGGACGAGTCACTTTGGTATTTCGTTTCAGAGAGGTACGGTGGAAGGATAAAGCTTGCAGGGGTACGCTGATGCGGACTTTGCAAGCAAGGCAGCAGACCGTAGGTCGGTATCAGGGGGGATCGTGACGTGTGGAGGAGGCGCTGTGTCTTGGTTTTCCAGAACGCAAAAGTGTGTCACGCTTTCGACCACAGAAGCAGAGTACGTCGCGCTAGGCGACGTAGTGAAGGAGATTTTGTTTTTGAGGCAGATTTGGCGTTTCATGTTGCCGCAGGTCGGCATGCCGTGCATCCCCGTCTTCGAGGACAACCAGGGGGCGATTCAACTAGCGCAGAANTTACGTCGCCCTAGGTGACGTAGTGAAGGAGATTTTGTTTTTGAGACAGATTTGGCGTTTCATGTTGCCGCAGGTCGGCATGCCGTGCATCCCCGTCTTCGAGGACAACCAGGGGGCGATTCAACTAGCGCAGAACCCCATCTCAAACTCGAACTCGAAGCACATAGATGTAAGGCACCATTTTCTCAGGGAACTGGTAGAGAGGAAGGAGATTTCGGTCATCCACTTGCCGTCGACGTACCAGCGTGCAGACTTTCTTACGAAGAGTTTATCGAAGGATGCTTTCGAGTCTCACCGTGATTTTGTGATGAATTTGGCATGAACATCCTATTATTTTTCTGATGGGTTGTGTTTTGATCTTGTTCTGTTTCCCGTTTTGTTTCATTTCCCGCGCCAAGTATTTGTGAAGTGCGATGCAGCATTCATATTTCTTTGAATTTTTTTTCTCTCTTTTATTACTCTGGTCAAGTCTTCATGGTATATATTCTGGGAAAGACGTCTTTTGGTTGAGATATCGGGTGTTAGCGAAGTTTTCATTGAGAAACTGTTGCGAGCAGGGGGGATGTTAGATATACTCGCAGCAGTATCTGGTCGTGAGGATCCCAGGGGATACGTGTTGGGAATTTCGTGTGTAGTAGGGTACCACCGGTGCAGTCACGGGGATCCTTTTGGCGTGGTTGGTGCGATGGAGCTTGCNGCAGTCACGGGGACCCTTTGGGCGTGGTCGGTGCAATGATGAGGATGGCTTGCGTGCGTGCTGCGCACTACTTCTTCTTCTTCCCCTTCTTCTTCTTCCCTCTCTCTCCACCACCACCACC